GGAGGAACAGCTTAATCTAAAGCCACATTAGCACAGGAATGAGAGCACATAAACTAGTTGTGAATACATTTAAGCTGGAAATCAGAAGAACTTTCTATCAGGTATAGCAGTCAGGCTTGAGGGCAGCCTTCCTGAAAGAGTCATGGGATGATAAAATTAACCAGGTTTTTGTTGGTACCTGAGGAGCACACACACAGGACTGCAGCACTGCCAGCAGCACAAAGAGCTCACGCCTGGTCAATGAGCCTCCTGCTAATTCTACACCTACAGTATGAGTGGTCCTGTATTCTGTCCTTGCTCTTGTGTTCTGAAGCTGTTGTTAAATGCAGGGAATTCCGGAGGAAATGGGGCAAAGCCTCCAAACAAACATATCCCCCTGACCAGAAGGGGCTGCGGTTTCACTTGTGTCTTGCAGTTGCTTTTCATCTGTGCACCCATGCTACAGTAATGGTGCATATTTTGTTATCCGTCCAGAGTTCACAGCTCTTAATTCCAGCTGACACTTGGGTGCCAAATGAACACATCACAACATGAATGTGGCTGCACATTGCACACACAGTTCTGCTACAGATGAGCCCCTTCCCCCGAGCAGCAGCACCCAGACCAGCAGGCGGCCATCAAGCCTGGCTCATACTGCACCCACAGGGCTATCCCCAAAACTGGGGCAGTCCTGAGGAGAAACAGCCAGGAGGAGGGCAGCTGGGAAGCCAGCAGAGAACTGGAGAAAGAGTTTTTTGAACCTTACAGCAAAGCAACGGCTACTGCTAGGAACTGGGATGAGGAAAGAACAGCCCTACAGTCAGGAACACCAATACTACAGAAGGCTGAGCAGGGGCTGACCTTCTTTTGAGGCCTAGTGGATCCAAGTCAGGGGTGCTCAGCAGGATGCGGTGCTGAGGGAGAATGTCTCTGTGTCCCTGCTGCTGGCAATGGGCCTGGTGTGTGGGCAGCCAGTGGCACTCCAGGCTGAGCTGTGCTCCTGTGGGAGCAGCCAGGATGTGGGGAGATCCCACCTCAGGTTCAGCTGCTGGCTGCCGCTGCCAGTGCCGTGCTGCCAAGTGCAGGGCTGCGGCTGGCAGCAGTGAGTTGGGGAGTTCTGCAGGCAGGAATTTTTCTCAGTCATGCAGTAAAGAGAATTGCCAGCATTAACCCCAACTCCTAATAAGAAAATACGGCTGCCTCTCGGCGTGGAACAGCTGAAGGTGTTTGGCGAAATACAGACATCACTCTCCTCACTCAGGTGTAAATTGGGAAGAGCAGGGATTGAGAAGTTCAGTTGCTGCCTTTTCCTCTCTCTTGAATCCAGATGCGCGAGCCCTATGTGTGGTACACGAAGAGGGTGGCAGCCAACTGCAGCTCAACAAGGCTGGCACTCTGCATGCAGGGCTGGCACAATTCCTGCTCCTGGAGCAGGGGCTGACGCAGCTCACGCCTCTCCTACAGCCCCCTGAGCCTCATTCCTTTGCGGTGCTGTTGCTGTCTTGTGCCAGATGTCTCTGTTCTGCTGTACTCAGGGCTTCTCCTTTCCTTGGGAGATTACGGGGTTAAAAACACAAAGAAGACATTTAAAATTAAAATTAAAACCTATAATAATAATGCTCAGTACTTATCTCACCCGTGCCATCTTCAAAGTGATTTACAAATGTTAACTAATTAATTAATTTCCACATTCTCCCTGACTCAAATTCAAAGTCAAGGATGAAGTGAGCAGGGAAATAAAAAGCATGGTTTTCAGGTGAAGGGCAAAAGGAAACCTCTGCTCCTGCCCACTATTTGCTGCAAGGCAAGGCCATTTGCAGCAATATTCTCATTCTGTGTTGAGCAACTCTCATTTATTTTTCAGCCATACAAAAGGTCTAATTTTATCTGCTACCTTCTGTTTCCTTCTTTTCTTAATGGAGATCTTAAAGGTGCTCCCTTCTGAAAGTGAAACGGAAAGACTTTCAGTGCTGTGCAGATGCCTCTCCATCGAATACATTTAATCCCACTCTCTGGACACATATGGCACAATGGGGCCTTGAGAAGTGCACAGAGCCATGGTAGTGTCTTGAAAATGCAAAGTGATAGTGTGCCTAAGCTGTGCTCATAACGGACCACTGCAGAGTACAGCCTGTGATGCTAGAGTATTGCCCACCTTGCTGCAGGCTCTGCAGCCTGAGTGCCAGCTGTGCTCTGCCAGACAGCTGTGCCTGCTCTTCCAGTGGTGGGTTCTCGACAAATGTCGAGAGGTGTCACCACACCGTCCCCATTGCATCACGTCACTAGTTTGGGGTAGCTGTGAAGTGCCCGAGTGCCTCCCCCATCTGTGCTCTGTTCTTCACAGATCAGTGCTCTTCAACATCTTCACTGATGACACTGCCAATGGGATCAGCTACACCCTTAGCAATGTCACCCTTGCGGATGACACCAAGCTGTGAGATGGTTGACACGCTTGAGGGTTGAGATGCCATTCATGGGGACCTAGACAGGCTCAAGCAATGGGTCCAGGTGAACATCTGGAGGTCCGATAAACCCAAGTGTGGGTTTTGGACCTGGGTTGTGGCGACTCTTGCTATCAAGACAAGCCAGAGGATGTAAGGATGGAGCACAGCCCTGTCAGAAAGAACTTGGGGTTACTGACAGATGGCAGCTGAACACAAGCCAGCCACGTGCCCTCACAGTCCAGAAAGCCAACTGTATCCTAGGCTGCATCAAAAAAGTGTGGCCAGCAGGGCAAGGGAGGTGATCCTGCCCCTCTGCTCTGAGCTGGTGAGACCTCACCTGTAGTGCTGCGTCCAGATGTGGAGTCCTCAGCACAGAAGAGACATGGACCTGTTGGAACACAGCCAGAGGAGGGCCACAGAAGTGATGCAATGGATGGAACACCTCCCCTACAAGGACACACTGAGAGCTGGAGCTGTTCAGCACGGACAAGAGGAGGCACTGGAGAAACCTGCTGGCGGCCTATCAGTATATGAAGAGGGGCTATAAGAAAGAAGGGGACAGACTCTTCAGCAGAGTCTGCTGTGACAGGACAAGAGGAAATGGTTTCATACTAAAAGAGAGGAGATTTAGATTGAATATGAGGACATTTTGTATAATACGAGTTGTGAGACACAGGAACAGATTGCCCAGAGCTGTGGTGGAAGCCCCATCCCTGGAAACGTGCAAGGTCAGGTTGGACCAGGTTTTGAGCAACCTCATCTAGCTGCAGATGTCCCTGTTCACTGCAGGGGAGTTGGACTAGATGACTTTCAAAGGTCCCTTCCAGCTCAAAAGATTCTAATTTACCTTCTGTTCCCCTTCAGAGTCCATTCTCCATTCTCCTCCCTCCCTAGGTTCAAGGCACGGTGGCTTTACAAGTGGCTCCTCTTCCAAAGGACATGTGATTGCTACCTTAGTGCTTGCCAGGTAGCATTTCCCTGTTAACATTTCTCCTAGACTTGCCCTTCCCAGAGGTGGGCAAATTTGATGCATGCAGTCATCACTGCATCTCTCAGACATTTGCAAATGCGGAGAGCACAGCAACCTTCCTCACTGAAACAAACAGATGAAGGTGATGCTATGCAGAGGTAGGAAGGCTCAAAATAATTTAAACAAAAGCTGAAAGCATAGTCACCACCCCTTGCTGTGTTTTATGGAAAACAGGACTCATCAAGTAAACTCACTATTGCTGCCAATTAGCCAGACCTCTCTAAGAATGTTGAGACAAACCTGATGTAGATGCCTGCAATCTGCAAATCTGCTCCCACAGGCAGATTTGCCCCTCCTGCCCAGACAACATCATGCCACAACTCTCTTACTTGGTATGTCTGTGTCAGCTGGCTGCACCTGATGCCTTGGTGCATGGGATCATGAATCTGGGGCTGCCCTTAGGGAGCCCCCGACCAGGGACAGATATCACACAGGAGCAGCTGGCATGTCCTACCTGACCTTGCACATGGGGCCTCTGCCACCCACAAAGATGGCTCTGCCTGTAATCGCTGGCAGTTTCTGGGCACAGGAGACATTCATTTCCCACTGGAACTCAGTGCTGCAGTATGTCAGTCCAGAACCAGCAAAATAATATCAGTATGACACAAGATGACACTTTGTGGTGTTTGAGATGACCTCACACCTTGTTACCACTTCAAAAATGGTCTCAACCCCTCCACTGCCATACGCCCTTAACAAGCCTTGCTCCCCTCTGTACTGCCTCCCCTCTACTGCCTTAGCTCCAGCTCTCATAGGCTTGCATAGGGAAATGACGCAGACAAGTTCATCCAAGCCACTGAAGTGAGTAAGTCCCATTCATGCAGACAAAGTTCAGGGTTTTCTGTTGTTACACTAATTATTTGGTGGCTTGCTCAGGCACAAAATCCAGATCCAAAGAATCAAATGTTATCACAGGCAGAACTGAGTGGGTATAGGAGTCACAACGTCAATTTACATCAGCGTACACTGCCACAGAGCCATCATGCAGCGTGACATGCGCAGCTGGCTGCCTCTGCTTCAAGCCAGTCTCATAGATGCATCCTCTGAAGAACGTGATGGCTTTATTCTGGGCACCTCACAGCAGACAATTTCACTGGATTTTTTTTCAGCGAGACTCTTGGTGTCATCGAAGAACAGGTTGAGCAACACCTATTCTATGGAAACTCCCCAGAAGGGCACTAAGTGTGTTACTGTCATTCGTTTTTCAGACAATTCTCTGTATCACCACTTCCCATTTTTTCCCAAAACATGTGAACCGAAACAAACACGATTATTTTTTTTCCCCATCAATGCCTGCATCTACCTTTGAGGGTCCCCAATATTCTGGATGCAAAGCAATTACATAAGAGACTCTTTAAATACTATTTAAGGCTAATTCCAGCTTTATGGACTGTTATCCCAACAACGTGGCACTTCCTTCTAGAATGAGAGGTATTCTGAAGGCACTGCACCCATAAATAGGACAGGGGCTCTCAATATCATGGCTTATTTTAAAATATCTAAAAATTGGTATATGAGATAAACAGACACCAACACAGGAGCACAAGTTTGTATAGATATGTCCATAGATCTATATTTTTATTGTTTATATATATTTATAATATATTTATATTCTTTTAAAAGAATCCCTTCAAAAACTACCCTCCCACCTAGCAAAACAAAGATTAAACAATCAAAGATGGCAGCTGCATCCTGGAACAAGGTGTCCCAGGGGTCTCAGAGAGCCAAAATGATTGCTGAGCACCACTGCACTCTTTCCAAGCTTCTGTGATGCCCTACAGATGCAAAGGTGACAGACAGACTTTATGACTCTTTAAATTTACCTGCCAAAAGACAGGGATAAAGAAAGAAATGTGATTGTGGTGATGGAACCTTGAGGGGTAGAGGAAACAGTAACGCATTCAACTGGAAGCTTAGAGTGTGACATGATTAAAAGGTGGGAAGCACTGCCCAGAAAGGAAGTAAAGAAGACAGAAAAGAGAACATGCAGGAAAATTAGTTGGCAAGACAGATCTCAGAAACGAGCTCAGAAGCATCACACTTAGGAGGTGGAGGGGCAGCAAGAGTCCCAAGTCTCTTCCTCTCACCCTCCAACCTGTGAAGGGAGATCCAACTAGTTTGATTTAGACCAAATCTTCGCACTGCCCCGGAGCCTGTGGAGAGAGGAAGAAGTTTTAGACTGGACACTAAACTTCATCTCTGACTTCCTTTTCTACGTGTACACAAAGAACAGCTGGCATTCAAGGAAGGCTTATGAATCGTGCTTCAGATTAAAAGCTGCACCTTCTGAATTAGCAGGAGGCAGAGGTCAGGCTGGACCATACCAGGTCTAGGGTGCAGACCCCTGCAGTCAGTGATCTCACTGCTACCAAACAGATCTCCCCTGAATACACATAAGGCAGAGGCTATGTTTGTTTGCCACCATTCCTCACCCTTTGGCTTTGGAAGTCTTCTTGCTGGTCTGGCGCTGGTTGGTGCCAGGAGCAGGTTCCCTGAGCTCTGTGAGGTGCTGTTCCGGGTCTTGAGATGTGGCTGCAGCAGCAGCTGCTGTTGTCACTTTAATTGTTTTCTTCAGATTTGCCACCTGTAACAGCAGTGAAACAAGAACCAAGTAATTTCTCAAGTTTTTTTCTTTTTTTTCTCCTCTTCCCTTTTTTAAAAGACCTGGAGCTAAGTGCTAACTGCTGTCCAGACCTCTGCAAAGCCGAGAAATGTTTAGCTGAATCACAGTTCTTCTTCAGGCACAACCCCCCAAGGGTTTTAGCACAGGTAATGCCTTACTTGAGCAAGGGCTGTAAGTTAACAACAGGATACTGGTTCTATTCTTTCTTTAAGCAATGGGTACTGCCTTTTCCCTCTTCAGCCCACTCACCTCACTCTCTATCTGCTGCTTAAGTGCCAGCTGTTGTTCTTTGTGTTGGTTGGCTCGGCTAACCTGTTCTTCAATGCCAGACAAGACAACTTCACAGCCCTGGCACCTGTAGAGAAAACGTTAATCTGAACAGGACAGGTAATCTGTACTGCAGGGAAAGAAACATGAAGATGATAGTTTTAACTGTAGAGAGCAAGAATTCTGAAAGGCAATGGCTACTCTAGGCAGAATAGGCACAGGGGCGCCAGTCCAATGTAATAACGTAGTGACATTATTACCTAGAAGGGAGACACATAACAAAGTGGCACTAGGTTAGGAGCTATGGACATATACTCAGAAAGACTCTTGCCAGCAGGTGGGACTGGATGCAAAATTTGCTGCAGTTTTCCTCACCCCTCCAATATGGAAGAATTTCAAAAATTATTTTCCACTGCCGTAAGGGAAAAGGGATAGAGAAGGTCACATTGCTACGCTGCCCCCCAGCAACACACAGAGGATGATCTGGCGAAGCCCCTGACCATTCCTGCAACCTTTTAAGGTATTAATATGGGCGGCTTCCTCCTCACCACTCCTGCAATGTGCGGGTGATGGTGCTTAGCTCCTCCCTCCGGATGTCCCTCCCAATGCTGTAATCCACCTCCAGGCGCTGGTTCCGCTGATCCAAGCTCCCTCGCAGCACATCTGCATACACCGCCTCGATCACGAGGTCCTCCAGTTGCCGGACATTCTTCAGCTGTAACTGCTCCAGCAACACCGAATAGGGGATGCACTGTGGGGACATGACAGTAATTACCACGAGGTAAACTCAGAAGAAGGAAAACTAGAGGTAAAATAGGGGGATTACCTTGATCTTGGCAGCCAGAGTGACGACTGACAGGTGCCTCAGTTTGTTCTTCTGAGCCTCTGTCAGGGGAGGGAGGTTTGCTGCTTCAGCTGTCGTCAAAGGGAAGAAGCAGGTATTAGAATTTATACCTCATTTTCTATTACCCAGTCCTGCAACAGAAACATTTGCACCAGTCCCATTTCTTAGAGCTTCAGCACACCAATCCCCAAAGCGATGCTTTATCTTGACAAGCCGTCACCATTAATCCACAGCTCAAAGGACCTTTTCCGAGCAGCCTCTCCTCTCCTCCATTTCAAGCCACTCCTCTAGCTGTCCCACACCTTATTTATGGAGGCTTCCGCATCCCAATGGATTCCTCAGTCCTTCCCTCTACTCCTCACAAACACCGTTGCCAAGATGCTTTTGGAAGTTCCCCATGCAGCGCACAAATGGCAGCACGCAAGCAGCAGCACCTCTTTTTGTGGGCCTCCTCGGCCCCATGCCCAAACACAACCTCGCCCCCAGCCTGGTGGCACAGGGCTCAAACCCCCGAGCCCGACCTTACCCAGGTAGTCGGCGTAGGTGCCATAGGCGAAGATGGTGAGCAGGTGGAAGACGGGAGAGAACTCGGAGTCGGCCAGCTGCGGGACAGAGGGAAGAGTCAAGCCCCGCCGCGCTCCAGGCCCAGCCGCGGGCAGGGCAGGGCAGGGCAGGGCAGGGCAGGGCGTGACGGGGCGGGCTCACCTCGCGGACGGCCGGCATGTCCAGCAGCTCCCCGAAGACGTAGATGCCCGGGGCCTCCAGCACCTGGTGGATGAGACTGGCGAGCGCGGCGCCGCGGGCAGCCTTGGCCAGCAGCAGGAACTGTTCCTGGCTCTGCCCCGTCACCTTCCCCTCGGCCGCCATCCCGCCGCCGCCGGGGTCTCGGCCCCGCCGCGATGGCGTCCCGCAGGCCCCGGCCCCGCCGCCGGGCGCCACCTCCAGCCCGCCCCGAGACCGCTCCTCTATGGTGGCGGCGTCGCACGACCGTCCGCTTCCGGGTGTGACGCCACGCGGGCAGAGCGGCGGGGCGCCCCCCGGCGGCGGAGGACTGCTCGGGCGGGGCGGGGCGGGCCGGACGGTCCCGCGCGCGGCTCCCGGTGCTGACCGGGATTGCCGTCCGCTTGGCGCCGTTGGGCTCCTCGGAGCTCGGGGCCAGGCCAGAGCTTGGTCTCCACGCTGAGGCTGCCGGCAGGAAGGGGGCCCAGTGCTGGAAGGCCGAGGTGGAAGTCTGAGTTATAATGGTGGCGGCCCCGCCACTCGGATGCCGTGGAAGTGGCATCGCCGCAAGCGCTGTGGCCAGGGATGTGGGGAATGGCCGTGATTACTCTCAGAGATAGCGAGGCCTGCGGTTCTCCTTACGGAGGGATCGAGGGAGGAGAAGGGCTGACAAGGTTGAGCAGGGGCCGTGCAGGTGAACTACAACACGAGGTATAACTATCGCCTTCCTGCGTTCACCTCTCCATTCCTGTGCTTAGGTCTACTTCACCACACCCTGACACCTGGTGCATCCACCGACACCAGCGCAGGGTGCATTCTGATCAGGTTAAAGCATAGCCCTGCTGCTCTGTAGCATTTATTGCTCTCTCCCCCGCCCCCTCGTTGGCTCCTTCCATCTCAGTTTTATCTTCCTATCGATCTGTTTCTCTCACACTCTCTGACACGCTTGCTGCCTTTCATTATTAGTCCGATAAAGCAAGGCAGCCTGAGCATCCCAGCTGCACCAGCCTCCCTCCGTTCTCCTCCTCCGCGCTGACCCCAGGTCCTGTGTGCTCTTTGCTGGGTCACCACAATTTTTCTTCTCCTTTGTCCTGCATGGAGCTAAAACAAGGGCAAGGAATGAATCACACCCTGAGCTCTCTAAATGAGAAGGCCATCGTCTTGTGGGCGATGTGAGCGCACGGTATCTTACCCGTAACTTAGCAAAGTCTTTGCCTCATCCCTAGATCAGAACAACAGATGTTGAGATTAAATTTCGGATTTTTGGAGTCTCTAAGTCCCATGATTTCATTCTGTTACAAATTCTTGAATGCCTATCTTAACATTACAGGCTAACTGTGAAATGAGATGTCTGTGTAACTTGAGTCAAACGTTAGGGATCAAAAGTAGGAGTGCAGATGAACACAAGCCTTTACAGCGTTTCCAAATTTTAAGATGAATCTCATAATACTGGGAGGTTGTGGGTTATTATTTCTGAGTGTTGGGGATTTGTAGTCCTCTCTGCAGCTACCTGTCACTTTACCCCCCTCTTCCCAGAATGAAAGTACCATTCTTTTCCTGCTGTAGATCCACCTTCTTTCCCATGTACCCACTGCCCCACTTTAGAGCCTGCAGGGTCTGCAGAGTCATACTGTATTGTTCTAGGTGGCTTCTCTCTTTGCCACTGCAAAATCAAAATGACTTGTCAATATGCTGACCAAATTTGTTCTCTAGCCCTTCTCCAAACATGGTCACATCTTCTGAGATGATTTTTCACAACTCTGTGCAAGTGCCACAGACTCTTAGGCAAAAAGCTTGTAAGGATGGGGCAAGTCTCTTTGGTATGTAACATGATCAGGAAGATTTTTAACCCTATAACTTGTACTAGGTTAACACACAGGGTGGTAAGACCTGTGCCTAATTACATCTAGGGCAGCCTAACATCTATTTCTTATAAAGGAGTTTAAGAGGAGGGTGGCTGCACAGTAATTCTTATTCCCATGCACTCTCACTGCCCTTGGGAATTTGCAGATCAGGAACTCTTTTTTTCAGACAGCCTCCAATCATGATTCTCCAGAAGAGAGAGGAACTTTCAGCTCACATGGTGGCCTGTGTCTGTGATTAGGCATTGCCCAGTGACTGGCTCTCGTTCATTCTCTGCCAGAATACCTGGTATGCTTTTCCCCAGGAAGGAAGTCATGCTGTAGTCAGGTCATGTCTCCTTCTGCTTTTTGATAAGTTAAACAGGTTGACCTCTTTAAATTACTGAGATCTCTAGCCTTCAGATCGTCTTTGATTCAGAGTTATTTTTAAAGCATGGACTTCAGCACAGAGAGGCCTGATCATCTCCCTTCTTCTTCTCACTCTTGTCTTTGCACAGCCAGGCACTTCTGCAGTATTGTCCACAGAGACTGTGCTGGTGTTGGTTTTTGTTTGTTTGTTTTCTGTCTGATTCCTTTTAAGATACCTTTTTTTCAGTACTGAAAGTTGCTCACTGTAGACACAGTCTTATCTACTTCGTGGACATCTTTTCCTTTTCACAGCTGTACAATTTGCTCTCATCTGTCTTACAAGAAGTTTTAGGAGAGTGACCACCTTACCAATGCAACAGGTCATTCTGCACTGGCCCTACCGTCGTTATTTTTAATACTAACAGTATTCGTGTCTTCAGCAAACTGTCAGAATAAAACATATCTGCTCACCAAGCACTGAATTGAATAGTGACTTACACCGGACCAAGGACTCATACTTGGGCATCCACATCAGAAACTGTCACTCAGTGAGGGGCTTCCAGACGTGGGCCCTTTGCATTTGGTTCAACACAGTTAACTGGTCCACTTAATCTCCTGCTCTCTTAATGTTGTGTAAGGCTGTTTTTTTCTCACCAGATTGTTTTGGGATATTAATGCTTCCAGAAGCCTAAATAGATCTAAGCCATCACCTATTCCAAATAAACCTGAAGTCACATCAAAGACTGACAAGAACAAAACAAGTTTATGCAGCAAGATCAGTCTCCTTCAAATCAGGCTGACTGGCATTAGCTGAAGAATCTCATATCAGCTCTTCTCTTGCTTTGCCTAGAAATTTTCAGGTCTTCTGTTTGCTCTTTACAAATACCAGCACAGCACCGCTCTTCTCCAGTCTTCTGGGACATCTCTGAAATTCCAGAACTTATTAACAAGTTGTTTTTTGAGCAATAGGACTGAGGAACCTGGCTTCTCTAAGGATCTGTTGCCTGTATTTTATACTTGCCATGCCATCAGCCGAGGTACCTTGATGACAGCCTTTCTGCAATGTGCCACAGCTGCAAGTCCTTTCCCCTTGCCTGTAGCCAATGCCTTGGGCTCCTCCTTCACCACTCTGTAGCATACACAGCTTCCTCAGTATTTTCTGCTCAATTTATTTCAGCTTGCTGGCCAGACTGCTCTGCCCAGCAGGGTTTTGCCCAGCAGCATGGCCATGGGGTCTCCTCCAGCACAGTCACCAGCAGCATCTTTGTCTGACTGCTGGCTCTCTCTCATACAACTTATTGGAGCTTATTTACCTTTCAGACTCTGCTTCATTTGTCAAGCCCAGCTGAATGCGGCCCATGGCAACTGAAGATGAGCTGATGGACTGATGGACAGCAGAGCAACTGCAGGAGCCTCACTGCCCTCAGGACACAAAGCTAAATCAGAGCAGCAGAGGTCCACTTGGCCTCAGGACTGGTGTAAATAACCTCTACGTGATGAGCGTGCCAGGCTGAAATAACAGCCTTCCATCTTTCTAGGTGCGATGGTGCAGAAGGTACACTATCGATCCTGGTCCAAATCTTGGCCAAATACACAGCAGAGGGAGTTTTCACATTTCCATCTTCATTTTGTCTTCACATCACCTTCACTCGAACACCCTCAGAATAACACTTCCTTCTTAATATATCTCTCATCTTCTCTTTTCCACAGCCATCCACCTGCAGCTCCAGCAGCCCACCCGATGCAGCTCTTCACTCAAATGTCCCTGTTGTTTCTTTCAGCCCATCCCAAGTGCCTCCTTTTGCCACTCTGCTTTTCCAGACCCATGCTCCCAGAGAAGCGTTCCTTTCCCTTTATGTCAGGTGAGAGTGATGTAAGCATGACATCAGCTCCTGCACTTGCTGTTTGCGTTGCCCCAGTTCCTTTCCTGACTTCTCTCACACCTCCCAGGGTTTCCTTGATCCCTACAGCATCTTCCTCCTCCTCCTCCTCTTTCCTGCCTCTGGCTTCCTTCTGCAGTTTTGCTCTTCAGGGGGATTTTTAGTGTTTACGTCATTTGGATTTTCGCCCTTTAACTGACCTTTCCCTGGTTGAATTTTCTCAACTGTTTTGTGCTTCCCAATTATTCTAAACACATTCATCATAATTTGAAAAGGTCAGAAGGAGCCTGCCTGGCTGAGGTAGCCCCTTCCAGAGCTTTCTGCCTTTGGCTCCCCTTGGAGCCCAACCACGACAAGTCTCCGGTCAGTGCTGTCCTGTCCTGTCCTGTCCTGTCCTCTAGCCACCCTGAGCGGTGGCGTGCAGGCACATCCAGCCATGCACAGTCACTGTCCCAAATGTGAAAATCCCATGGACGCTTCCAAAGGCTTACAAAAGCCCTGATGGGTGAAAGGTTTTCACAGTCCTGCTCACAAATGTGGGAGGGAACTCACGGAGGGTCTGATGGACGGCAGCAGCCCCAGAGCCCTAAGGTCTGTTGGAAAGTGGCACAGCCTGTTCCAGGCAAAGCGCTGCACTTGGGCTGTGTACTGAGTGCCCTTTGGTCACCTGTGTCTGTTCCTGGTACTGTGGCAGGTTGCTTCATAGAGCAGCGCCATCTGTACTATTTCCTGTTTTATCAGGGTCAGTGACAGCCTTTCCTCATCACTTCATGATGAAAAGTTTGATTGTTTCTGAGGATCTGAGGAAATTGCTTTCTGGCTCCCTCATATTTCAGACCCTGGAGTGGAAGCTGCCTTGATGCCTCCGACTTTCATCTCCTACCCAGGGCTGCTTGGCAGCCGCCTCCTGATTTGGCCTGTGCCTGCTGATGGTGCTGATGGTGGAGGGCGAATCTCCCTGCAAAACACGCAGCCCCTCCAAGGCACACAATCTTTTTTCTCTCCTTTCACCGCCACATCCCTGCCATCTCCAGACGCATCCATCGATCCCCAGCAGAGACAGCTCGGGGACCTGCGGGCCGATCCCGCGGCTGGAGCAGACCCCGCTCTGCTCCCACAGCACCCGGTGTCCCACTCGACCCACGCGTGGGCGCCTCGGCTCTGCCCGTGGGGCTCCCCCGGTCCCACGCCGGCCTCCGGGGCTAAGGCCCCGGGCCCGGAGCTCGGCGAGACGGGGACGCGGGGCGGGGGAAGGAGGAACGAAGGCGGCGGGGGCACGGCGGGGAGGGGGATCCCGAGGGGTCCCCGAGGCCGGAGCCGTCCGGCGGAGGCGTTCGCTCTGCCGAGGGAAGCGGCGGGTCCCTTGGAGACACCTCTCTCCATAGCAACCCAATCGCTTCCTGGGAAGATCCCGAAATAACCGACACGACGGGAGCGGCGCGGAGCGGGCAGCGGCGGCGGAGAGACAGCAGCACCGAGCAGGTCCGGCGGGGCGGCCGGGGAGGGCGGGGAGGGACCGGCGGTGCCCCTGCAAACCCGGCACCGGGGCTCCGGGCGGCGGGCCTCCCCGGAGGGCGCTCCTCGGACTGCAGCAGGCTCGAGGGCGACGGTGCCGGCCCGCGGCCGTGCCAGCAGCCATGGGGTTAACGGGAGGCAGCGAGCGAGAGAGACGGAGACGGAGAGAGAGAAAGAGGGGCTGGACCAGCGCTCGGCAGCTGTTTATTTCAAGGCATCTCTCGCTCCCTCTCCCTCAGCCAGGGCTCAGCCTCGCCGAACCTTCCTTCTCCTGCTCTCCTTCTTTCGTCCTGACCATGAGCGGCAGCGGCGGCAGCGGCCGTGCCCCTCCGGCCCCCGGCCCCACCACCCCGGCTGCGCCCCGCCCGGCTCCCCGCAAGGTAAGTTCGCTCCGGGCTCGGGCAAGGCGTGGGGACGGGGCCGCAGGGCGAGGGGCGGGCGGTGTGCCCCCGTCCACGAATCCTCTCTCCCCGTCTCCTTCCCCGTGTCCTTTCTCCCTTCTTCTTTCCCCTCTCCCCATCGAGGTACCCGTCCCCTCCCAGCCGGCCGTCTTCTTTCCCCGCCGCTCCTCCTTATCCTCTCCGGGCTGGAGGTACCGAGAGACCGGGAGGGAGCGGGCACAGCCGCGGCGTTGCTGCCTCTCGCCCTCCAGCCCCGGGCTCCATCACAGACCTGTTGTTCTGGAGCACCGGAGCCTGCGTTGAGCCAGACGACTTCAGCCTAATTGGCGCAGCTGGAGAGAAGAAACGGAGAGGTCAATCCCTCCTCCTGCACGGCCAGGGGTGCATCGTGTCACAGAGAGCGACTTGGATGGGGAGATGGCACCTGGAGCACTCAGATGCCCGAGAACAGTAGAAAGCTGGAAGGCAGGAGATTGGCAGACTCATGACATGTATTGCAGGCAGGCACTAGATGGCAGGGGACCGGTATCCTAGAGTGCTGGCTGGAATGGGGCCATGCTCACAGTTCCCAAATGCAGGAAGACTTGAGCTCAGAGGACTGCTTGTCAGGGATATCTGTAGTGAAACCTGTTCCCTAGATACCGAGGTTTCCAAATGCATGGGCACCATCAACTGCATCCCTGGAGTGTGCCCTAGCCCAGCATTTCCATGCCCAGCCCACGGGTGCTTGCCCTGGCACCCAGCAGTGGTATGCCCGCCAGCTGGCACTGAGCCCTGCAGGACCTGCGCTGACACTGGGTGAGCCCACAGGCCCCTCCATGAGGCTGGCTGGACTACCACCAGCCTATCTCCTGTCGGGAAGCAGGCAGAGCAGCCTGACATGAGCCACGACATTCAGAATGCCAGCCCCGAGGTCAACTTGCTCTGTGAGCCATCATTCCCACAAGCACACAGGAAATCCCTCCCCAAATGGGCTCAGCTTCTCCCATGGCACTGGGGCACCAGTACTTGGCCTCACACCTCCAGCGGTCTGAGCTTCTTCAAGTGTACCGATTGCTTCCTTAGGGCAACTGACCTGGAATCCTTTCCTTTCCCCGTTCCCTCCCAGAAGGATGCAGAATCCCTTCTCACCAGCACTGAGACTCATGGTTGCTGCTACCAAAACGATTGCAGCTCTGCATCTTGGACCACAAGCTCCAGGATGCTCGCAGCCACCAAGAAAAACATAGATGCAGGATGCTCAGGGCACAAGCGGTTTTGCAGCATCTCACTGCCAAGTGTCCCAACTCTCTCTCCGCTCAATGCCCAGAGGAAGCTGCTGGGCTCCACAGTCCCAGAGTGCCATTACCTATCAGTAGCTATCACCATAGTCCTGGGTGCTGGCTGGGAGTTACAAATGCCAGCCAGCGTTCTGCCTCCGTGAGCAAGGCTGGGTCCCCCTCAGGTTTGTTTTGATTTTTTATTACCGTTCCGAGTGGGATCGTTGCCGTGGGGGAGCCAGGCACAGAGAGGATTTGCATGAAGCTCTCGGTGCTGCAGGGTTGCTAATGGCGAGTGCTGTTTCAGCTGGTAGCAAGTTTCATAATCTTGGCCACCTCTGGTGGCTGTTCTGTTCCTCAGGGCCGTAAGCATCTTTTCCCTTCTCCTATCCCTCCCCCTGCTCCCCAAAGTGGTCAGCAATTTTGTTGTTCCACTGGAATATATCTGTCATGTGAGGTCACCGCTGCATAAGTAGAGGTGATTGATTGCTTAGGTTGCAGGGCCCCATCCCATGTTGGGCTTTGAATACCGGCTTGGAGACCTTAACCAGACCCGGTTCTCGCAGGAGAGCGGTGTGGAGTGTGAAGAGGCACGGTGATGCATTCCCGACAGATTGAGTGGCTGAGCAAACAGACTGCTGCATTTGGAACTAGCTGGAGCGCTTGGAGAGCAGACAGCTCCATTCCTAGAGGCACAGTAGCACAGCAGTCGAGCCCGAGATGCTACAAAAATACAGATAGATCATCGTCTGCCAGCCGAGCCAGGCAGGAGTGGGTGCAGCTCCCTTCCCATCCCCAGATGGAGGAGGCTGCCCGCTCGTCACCAGCGTGTCCTGTGTGTGCTCAGCCTCACCCAGCATCCCCGGTCAGAGTCGATCTCTTCTCAGCACCGAGAGCTGTGAGATTCTCAGATTTTAGGGCCAGGGGACCATTTTGATCATCCAGTCTGATCTACAGTGCTGCACAGGCCAGAGAATTTCACCCATTTCATTTCCTGTGTCAAGCCCACAGCCTCGGGTAGAACTAGAGCATCTCTTTGAGAAATACATGTAAATGCTTCAGGCAGCAGGGAATTCACCGAGTCTCAGGCAAACCGTTCTAGTATGTGGCCCTCTTTATTAATAGTATTGTTCCCCATATGAATTTGTCAAACTTCAGTATTTTATAACAGAAGGTTACAGATTGCATTTGATGTGAGCGAGCTACAGCACGGGTAGTGCTGCACGTGGCTGGCACCTCCACTCTTCTATTCCAGTGAGAGCTTTTATATTGGAATAGGATTTCTCCTTGGGGCTACTGCAGAGTTCTGGACATGGAGGAGTTGCCCATAGCAAATCTCAGGGCTTCCTCCAAGCACGGTGGCGTCTGGACTCCAGAACTCAGGAGTCATATCTGCGGTTCAACCTGTGCTCCCTGCTCAGAGCTGGCATGCAGCAGGTTGCACTCCCAGGCACTAGTTAGGGTGCACATTCCCAGCTCCCTTGGTGAGCTGCCACGTGTGCTTTGGGGCAGGGCTGCTGAGATCTGCTCTCACATCCCAGCTGCAGTGGTTGTGGGCTGCAGAAGATTTACAGAGGGAGAACGCTTGGCTGTATCACTGGCTTAGGGGAGCAGCAGCATGATTTGGGCTTCCATCCTGCAAATTCACTCAGAGCAACTCCTAATCTCCAACTCCTGGATTGGCTCCAGATCTACAGTCTGACCCCATAGTGGGGCCTGTACGCAATAGCAACGAGCAATGTAATTCTTTACTCCTCGCTTCCAAGCACCGAGATTCACAAACTGAGCTCAGTGAAGTGCCCTGGGGAAATAGCTTTGTCATTCACACTCTGTCATCTGTGCATAACAGGACGCTGGAACGCGGTGATGAAGGCCCCGTACCTAGAGTGAAAGCACACAGGTCCATCTCTTCACCCTGGAAGCAGCCCTGTCCATTTTTATCACAATTAGGCCTGGGAGACAGCTGAATGCAGGAACTGTGCCAGGTGGTGCTGATGCAGAAATCCAGTCTCCCTGGCAAACAACAACCACCTGAATGGTGTAAGGTGCAAAGACACTGGGATTTGTATCTCCAGGCAGGAAGAGCATTCAAGCTTCCTCCTTCCCCCCAAAGATCTGCTATTCTTTTCAGCAGCAGGATAGAAACTGAGTCAAGGGCATTTGCTGTGCTTGCCCTGAAGCATGGCAGTGTCTGTCCTCAGGACACAACTCCCCCTGTTAGCAGCTCGACGCAGAATGCCCCAGACATGCTTTATCTGCTGCTGTGCAGGTACACTGCAGGGAGATCCATGCCCTGCTCTCAGCACCAGCACTGAGTGCATAGGAGAGTCCAGCCCTTGCTGGCTGGCATTTCAGCACGAATTCCTTCCCCTTTGCTCTCGTGTGGGAGAAATGCTGGTGCTCTTTCATCAAACATGCCTGCTCTGCTCGTGCCAGGACACACACTTGAGTCTCTGGCCTCAATATCATGAACAAAACTGACTGGCAGCAACTGACATTGTCTCAGTCTTGCACTCCTCTGGAGCTGCCTTTAGGGTAGGGCATAAGAAATCACTTGCTTTTCACTGTCTGTGGCAGGATCTGTTTACGAAAGTGCCTTTGGTCTGAGCCTTGCACCTGATTTCCAGCTGTCACCATCACAGCAGATGTGCGGGTCTCACTCCCTGCCTGCCCTCAGGTCTGGTTACAGCCACAACCTGCTTCCTAGGGCTGAAATTTAGGTTTCCAGGTGCAAAAGCAAGAACAGTTTGGGTCTGTAGGGTACAATAGGGATCCCTGTTTTCAGGCTTTAGATCCTGGGAATGCTCGGTGCTTTTGCTGGAGTTCACTGAGGCAGGCAGTGCAGGGAAGTCTCTACTGCTAGACTGGAGCTGGGTGACTCGTGCCATTGAGCAAACAGAGCATGGTGAGTGGGGGGGAATGCAGGCCGGCGCTGTGCCCCATATCGTGCCATAGCTCTCCAAGGAGGAACGCTGGCACTATTAGTTGTGTCCCCCTCTGCCCTGTGGGACTAGCATGGCTGTTCACCTCCAGATGGAGAGAATTTCCACTTCTGCAGTGGCACTACCCATATTCACATCTTCGGCCTGATGCCAGTGCTGTGACTGGTAATTCCATGCAGAATGTGTCTTTTCACCCAGAGGGAACAGCTGTCTAGTCCCAGCTGTGGCATCCTGAAGGCAGCCGAGTGGTTTGCATGCACCCTCTCCTGACAGACTCACACAGAGAGATTCCTGACATTTGGAATTCCCTCCCTTTCCCAAGTCCAAAGGAAATTCTGTCTCAGATTTCCTTGCCAGACACGATCCTCCACAGCATCATGATCACCATCCAGATGGCCAAGATCTTGCTAGCATGAGGGAGTCTCTAGCTTTGGAAGAAACTTGCTCCATTCTGCTGCTTCTCCACAGAGCTGCATTTTAACGAGCCCCTTCTAAGGCTTAGAGGTTCAGGAGCAAAGTACAAAGAAACGCTGAGAATAGCTGCTCTTTTGTCCTCATCTTCATCTGTGGATCTCTCCAGAGACAGATCTTGCCCTGGAGGGAAGGGCAGGGCACATTAGCCGACAATTCCTTTTTTCCTGTGAACTTTGTTTAAATATTTAACAGAAGAAAACTAAAAATATCCCGGGTTAATGCAGTAGGAACCAGACAGCTGCTCTCTTCTTAGGTGTTCTTCCTCCCAGCCCCTCTTTTCAGGCGCACACGGTGGGGCGAGGGCCCCCAGCCCAGCGAGGAAGGCTGCAGGAGAAAGGCTTCCAGCTCGGGAGGGGCTGCGGTGCAGGGCTGCCAAGGACCAAGAAGGGAGACGGCCGCGGCTCCCTGGGAGCTGCAAGGTGCAGTGCGGCGGGCGCAGGACTGGAGATGCTCAGCCTCCACGATGACTCCCTCCTGAGTTCCCATGGCCAAGCGCTCTCTTTTCTCCATCCCAGAACCGCAGGAGGGCACAAATGGGGGTTGTCAGTGCTCGAGCTTCCCCCTTCACGGTGAAGGGACAAGCTGAATGTCGTGAATGATTTTTCCTGCATGAAGTCTGTGCTGCGGAGTGAATCCCGGGTCAGGTACATAACAGCTCACTGGGGAAAGGCCGGCGCTGCGCCAGTCGCTGAAGGGAAGAGGCAAGCGGCATGAAGGGCAGGTGGCCGCGCAGCTGCCGGACTGGTGCCGAAACCCATCCAGGTGCTGCATCCTGCCCTGCGCTGCCCCCAGCGGATGGGTGACTGGCAATAGGAGAGCTGGCGGAGGAAGGGAGGGGTGGTGCGGTGCGGTGCGGAGGACGCTTGGACAAGGAGTGTAGAAAGGTAATTCCGTTTAGCTAAGAGGAAAGTAAATACTAAATATTTGATAGGCATATTTCGCTCTTAAGTTCTTCACTAATGCTGGACTTTTCTCGCTGATTCACTCTCTCTTTCCCAGTCTTCCTGGTTTATCACTTGTGCGCTTCCCCTCTCGCTCCCTCACCCCGGCACACAATGAAGAGGCTCCTTTTTAATAAATGGATTACATGCTCCACTCTATAAATAAACACGGGAATTAAGATTCCAACTTGTTCTGGCGATAAGCAAACAAAAGCGCCGGAGCCCCCCCTTGGCCCTCAGACAGGAGTGTCTCCCAGGAGGCTGCGCACGTGTCTCTACACGTGTGCTCAGGAAGCAGCTCATGCTCCCCGTGTGTGTTTCTGTGGGCTGGGGAGCAGCGCTGCGATGGAAACACCTGTATGCACTGCCATGTTGTGCCATGCTCTGCCCATCAGGGCTGGGGGTTTGCACCAGTGCCGAGCAGAGAGCGACGGCCACAAGGTGAGGGCGCAACTTAACCTCTCTCTCTTGCCTTCCAGTGAGCAGCATGAGGCAGGACCTCGCCGTGTGACGAGGTGTTGCTGCATCTGCGATGGACCCCGGTGCCTGGTAGGTTCACAGCCCCTGTGGATGCGGGAAGGAGACAGGTGCATGTGCAGCGGGCCTTCCTAGCATGAGAGACAACTGGATAACGTGTTCTTCCTCCTCCCGCAGCAGGATGCCTTTCCTGGTCTCCTCCATCCACTCCCTGCAGCTATGGCACTTCCTCCTCCTGGTTTCAGCCATTCCTCCACCCGCCGTCTGGTCTCTCCGCCCTCGTGGTCCCATGGCTGCCCGGCCTCTCTGTGCCCGTCGCAGCCCCTCGGCCCTCCGGCCCATATGCATCTGGGAAAGGACCTCACTGCCGGAGTGGGATTCACGCCTTGCCACGCCACGCCAGCGGGTCCTGATCCCCCGAGGAGGGGACCAGCGCCATACCGTGCGGCTGAGACGCCAAGCAGCAGGAGTCAGGCCTGCCACCCCCTCTGGCTTTGAGGATGGCATGCCCTCCTCCCAGTACCCCTGGGCCATAGTGTGGGGCCCCACAGTGTCAGATGAGGATGGAGGGGATGCCAACTCGGCCAACCCCGGCTTCCCACCACTGGGTTACACCTTTGTCTCACCACGTGGGATGGCGACGGCGCAGCCCAACTCCCACTCGCTGCTGCACAATGCGGGGCTCAATCTGCGTGAGACCCCAGCCACCCTGCGGCCCTTCCTGTTCGGGCCCCGGGGTGAAGGTAGGCTGCCTGTTGCTTCTCCCAGCCTCGTTCTTGCCTACAACTGTAGAATCACGGTGTATCCCAAGTTGGAAGGGACCCACAGATGTTACCAAGTCCCACTCCTGGCCCCATGCAGGACCATCCCAAAATTCAAACTCTTTGAAAGTGTTGTCCTCCAGCAGCCTGGGGCTGTTCCCTTTTCCTTGAGGAGCCTGTTCCAGTGCCTGATCACTCTGTGGTGAAGAACCTTTTCCTAATGCCCAGTCTGACCTACCCTGATGCAACTCTGTGTTATTCCCTTAGGTCTTTCTGCAAAACCCATCAGTGCCCCAGCATGAAGCCTGAATAAACTGCTGCTTTGTGGGGGCTGATAGGGTGGCTGCCACACTGTCCTTGTCCCCTTTGTCTTGCAGGAGTGGATCCCCAACTGTACGTCACGATCACCATCTCTATCATCATTGTCCTGGTTGCCACTGGGATCATATTCAAGTTCTGGTAAGTGGTGCTTGGAATTCATGGATGTTGTTTCATGATGGTGCTCTGGGACTATGTACTTGGGTGCTGAAGAATGTGCTGAACCCCTGGATGCAAGGGGCACTTATCATCTTGCTGCTCTTCTCTCCCAAGCTGGGACCGTAATCAGAAGCGCCGGCGCCATTCTGGGCAGCAGAGCGGTGGGAGGCAGCAGGACAGCCAGCAGCCCCTCACAGACCTGTCCCCCACTGCCATCAGCATCCTGGGGCCCTACAGTGACTCCCTAGCACCCACCCCTGAAGCGGAGGAACCCAGGCAGGGGCAGGAGGGTGTAGAGAAACTGGGGGGCCATGGGAAAAGCACCGCCTTCCAGCTCAACCGGTGAGTCCAGCAGGGAGCAGTGGGTGGCAGGCACAGAGAGCATAAGGTTGAGGATGAGCGGGGCAGTTCAACCCTTCGAGGAGGGCCTTTGGGAGAAAAGAGCACTGACTGGTTAGGGGGGCTCCAGGGCAGCTCAAGCACCCACCTTTAATTCTTTTCCAATTCCCTTTTCCCCCCAGAATTCCACTGGTGAACCTGTGATGCAGATGGGAGAAGCAGAGCTGGCTCCCCGACCCTCCTGCCACAGCGGGGAGCCCACGCTTCTGCCACCTCTGCTACCCCAGGAAAAAAACAATCTCCTTGTGCCACGGCCCGCTGCCACAGTCGTTAACTAACTCCACCAGGATGTGCCTGGGCAAATGGACGAGCTGGGTCTTGCTAGCATCCTGAGGGGGAAGGTTGGAGGCCACCTTGCAGGACGGCATGCGGAGCGAGCAGGACGTGGGAGGGGAGGCAGCTGTTGGTTTTGTGAAGTCATAGCCTGCCCTGCCTTTCTCCTCGCACACACACACACACGCTCTCCGACCTCTGCGACTCTGCCACCAGTGCATGCCTGACAAAGGGGTAGGTGAGGTGGAAAGGCGTCCCCTTGTCCCCCTGTCCCCATGACCCCTCTGTGTGTCCCTTCCTGTGTCGTGTGCTTTGATGTGAATGTCTGGAGTTCAGTGGCTGCAGCTTCACCTCTGGGCTTGGGATCAGGTAGTGTCAGACTCTCCTGTTCCCAAGGCCTTGGCTTTCCTGAGGGCCCGAAGGCGAATCTTGGGAAGAAGAGGCTCACATAGCACCTGTCCCTCTCAGCTATCCATTTCCTTGAAGGAAGCATTACCCCACCTTTGATATTCACATCTTCCCATTTTCTTTCTGCCTAGCACTCCTCTGTTTTCTGTCTTCAGCTTGTATCTTTCTTCATCTTAGTTCCCAGCGTTTCTATTTTTTTCTCTCAGTTCCTCCTCCCCTTTTCTCTTGCCAGTTAAGGTTGGAAAAAGTTCCTTTAGTTTTCCAAATGTTTAGATCCCTTGGAAGTCTCCTTGGTGCTCCGTTCTGCCCCCTCAGTCTCCTTCATCAAGGTTTTATCTCTACTCTGTGGTGATGTTCATCAGAAAATCAGAGTTGAAGCCTTCTGGGCATTTAGCAAGAGTCCTGTCCATTGAGATCCTGCTGAAGCAGCGAAAATGCAGCAAGCAGATACAGCTGCGTACGAGGAGTGTGAGCTTTGCTGGGCTGTGGTAGGGAATTGCTTTTTGACACTTGTGCTGCAGGCAATGAGCAGCAGAGATGACTCTATTTGCTTGGGATGGAAAAGAGCGATTTAGAGAGCTTTGGGGGCTGACATGCGCTATTGGGAGGTCTCTTTTGGAATGCCTTGTGATGGGAGAGCCCTGAGGCAATGCTCACCAAGGGCATGAGAGAGGGGTACTTATGTGCCGCCAGACACGGGGGTGCCAACTTCCCTGACCACACATTGTTAGCAACAGTTGTTTCCCCCCCTTGGCTTTTGTGGATACCTTCAAATAAATTCGCAGACTAACATAGCAGCCACTGAACTGCAGAATGATACAAATTTAGGTAAGGTTGCCCCAAGACCTAATGGACTGATGGGTCCAGAGACAGGAACTCGGCCACCATTTTAAGGCTGTAGTGTATGGCACAAGGTCTCTGACAAAAAATTATCTTTTATCTCCAATAATAGGAAATGGCCTTTCCCCCTTTATCTCTGTAGTAAAAGCATATTCTTGACAGGACAAAGCACAGGGAGTTTCCTACAGGGTCTGGTTCTGCCCATTTACCCAGCTGAACGACTAGTGATCTCAGGTCCCACCTGGCTCACTGTGAAGGACATTTAAATGAGAGGGTAACTTACAATAAGCTTCATGGAAAACAGTAGAGATTTGGAGAAAATGACAGGTCAAATAAAATTATCGGCTTATTAGAAGCACAGAATGGATGAAAGATGTAGGTGGAAAAGGACTCTGGAGGTCTCTAATCTAAGCACAGGCTGAGTCTCCACTCTCAGCAGTGGATATTATTGCTTCACTGTAAACCAATCTATTACTGAGCTTTTTCTTCACTGAGGCCCCTCTCGAGGCTTTAGTGGACATTTCAAGTTGCGGACAGACAAACAAGGGAGCCCCTGACTCTTCCTGCCTGCTGCCCTGCTCCCACCACCCCTGAGTGCAGGTCAGGGCTGTTCCCCCTCGCACTGGCATGAACAGAGCTGGAGAGGGACGTCTGCACGCAGCCTGCAAAGGGCTGCATCAGTTATTCCTGGCAGTTTACAATATAATGCCTTCAACTCGTTTAAGTAATCCTCCAGACCGGGCTAATTAGATTGCTCTTTGATCAATAGCGCTCATTGAAACAAGGCCAGAGTTTAGACTCTACCACTTCAAGGGCTGTCCTTGGACTTTCCACATGCTGTGTTCGAGAGAAGCCCTGTGAGAAAGTGGCAGGGCACTGCAGAAGGGGTAGTGAAAACCTTTTCCAACACTTGCTGCAGGAAAGCCCTGTGCTCTGCTGGACATGCTTTGTAAACTCTGCAAACACATCAGATTTCAGTGTTTTGTTTTGTTTTCCTTTAATGTGTCTTTGTTCCTTTTTAAAGTATCTCCAAGGAATGAAACCTTTCATGGACATTGTGGTAAGATGGAAGCAGGGAAATGCTGTGAAGAAAGCTCTTAAAATAACAGAAGCTTGGAAACGCTGAACATCTTTTCCAACACCAACTATTCTAGCCAAACATGTTTTTATCATGGTCATTCACTCACGTGAAACAGGTTAAATATGGGAAAAACCTTCACTGTCCTTCCAACATTCAAAACATTCAAAATGTGTTCGGACACAAGTTTCTTCCAGTCAATAAATAATCTCACTGCATCTGTTTTCCCCATGGCTGGAGCCTTACAAACCACCTTCCCCTGTGCAGAATGGAGCCTGCCACCTCACTTGGTCCAGGTAATATTCTGTGAGATGCGCACACACATGGACCAGTTGACACCACCAAGCAGAGGCCAGCACCCTTTCAGTCACAATCTGACAGGTTTCCCTGTCTTCTGGGTGACCGGAGGAAAAAGATCTGAGTTGAATTTTGTCCAGTGGAAATTTCACAGAGAGAAATGTGTGTGGGGAAAACTACTGAAAAAATTTGTTGAGTTGGGCTGAGCCTGTCTGATATTTCTGGTCCATTAGATGGAAATGTCTGGGTGGGCTGGGCAGCCGCATCCCTGTGGAACTCCTCAAGGGACTTGCTCTTGCAAACGAGAGGCCTTGTCTTCCTTCTGGGGTAAGGAAGAAAGGCTCAGGGCACAATCCTTCCCCCCTGCCCTGTGTTGTGTTGGAGCAAGACCCCGACTCTCTTCACCCAACAGAGTGAGGTGACCACTAGGCCAAATCCTGCCTGAGCTTTCCCATCTGGTTGGTGAGGACTGGTTGACAAGGGAACAGAGCTCAGCCATGTGCTTCCACAGCTCTCCTCCAGTGTGACTTACAGCGACACAGCCAGCCCGGCGTCCCACAGCTTCAGAGAGGGCTATCTACCTCTTCCTCTGTGGCACCGAAGTGCCCTTGTAAATCTGGCCCTTCACACCCTTTCCTGCTAAGGAAAATTGCTTGGAAAGGAGCTGTTTGCTCACCTCCCACACATTCTCACATGAAAACACCATCATCTTCAGATCGGTCTGAGTAAAACTGTGGTTTTGGCTTTTCGCTCTGAAAAACCACGCCTATGGCACAGCATTATAGTCAAGTTCTGCAATACAAAAGCCCTGAGCCAAACTCCAGCTAACCAACCATACCCCGGCTATGTCTCACTATATTCTAGCCCTACCTTGGCAAGACAATGGAGGGGGGCCCTTCTTTCACCAGCTGCCAGCAATCTGTTCCTCCTTTCCTGTTGTTTTCCCCCTCCCACTGTTTCCCTGCTCCTGTCCTGTACCAGAGTCTCACTCCAGGTTCTGCTCCCCTCCTGCTGTTTTGCTCTCCCACTCTGCTCTCGTTCTCTCTCTACCATTTGGTCTCGTTCTGCTGCAGCTCCCACCCTCCCTTTGCTCTTCCTCCTGCTTTCCGCTCAGTCTCGCTCCCCCTCCTCTGCCCTTGTGCGCTGTGATATATATTTTTGTAGGATTTCTCTTCTTCTTGTGGTGAAATACTCAATTCTTGTGGGATGTTAGTTTCAACATTTTTAAATAAACCTTTGCAAAATACTGCAAGCAAAGCTCTTGCTGCTGTGGAAGAGGCTGCAACAGAGATGTCAGGGGTGGGAAGAGAGGGATTTCACACCGGTGGAACTGGAGCTCAGGCATCTGCTGTCCTGTGCCTTCCTCCAGAAGCAAGAGTGTCTTAGTTCTGCATCCATCTCACTTGGCTTCCTCATGACCAAAAAGGTCTCACAGCCTTCCTTCTAGCTTTCCCCAGGAGCTGGTCCCGCTGCAGGAAGCTGTGGGGACCCTGCACACCCACTTCTCAGCCCCGAGTGGCTGCTTTTGTGGCAGAACTGCTACCACCCAGCCACTTTCTGGGGCTGCTTGTCACACACGGGTTTGTGCTGAGAGCCAGGGTGGCGGTGAGAGGTGAGTGAAGCTGGAGAGACAGAGAGATGCAGGAGCAGAAGCCTCCCTCTCTCTGTTCCCCGCGGCTGCCTCCGCAATTTCTATTTACAGCCCTGCTGCCTCCCCTCCTGGCCATAGTGCTGCTGCTGCTGTTGCTGGTTTCCAGGGCTGCACTGTAATTAAGCATCCTCGTCTCCTGCAACTCCCCCACTTCGTGAGCTCCAGTGCTGATCGGTGTTAGGGTGGGCAAGGAAGGGGTACTGGAGACTACAGTAGTGCCAGTGGCACCTCCAGAGGGCAGCTGTGGCATCGTAGTACAGTGGAGAGGGCTGCCCCAGCCGGGTCTGTGGGAGGCTGATAGCACCTCTTTCTGTCACTGAGCTGAGGGGTGGGAGGAGGCTGTCCCTTAGCCCTGCTGCTTTTGGTGACTGATCACTGGCTCTGGAGACCAATCCGCTCTCACCCGCTGTGTAAGGAGACCGTGGGGCTGGAAGGCTGAAGAAATGTTGCTGGAGAGGTGGCAGATTCTCACTATGCTGACATTACAGACTCACATGCTCATTGGTGCAGTGAAATGGCTTACACAAACCTTGGCTGCTTCCAGCTAGAGCTTCAGCCCTTCCTGTTAGCTCCTCTGTCAGCAGATGCTTTTTTTTTCCCAATGCCCTCTCTGCAGAGGCTGCAGGCGCTTAGTGGGAGCTTCCCATTTCTTCACCAGGAGTAGCTCCAGGAACTGACCCAGTTTTGGCTGGTTTCTTGGAGTACTGACTCCCCACTCTGGCCCTGTCTCACCACCATTTTCCACTCTGTGGCTTTTGCCCACTTCTCACTCTGAATTCCCATCCTCTCAGCCTGCTCCCAGCTCTGCCTCCTCCCCTTGAATACCCATCCTTCTTGCTCACTTTTAGGGGGCTGGAAAGGGGAGCTGCATGCTATACAAAGGGTGGTGGAGACTTAAGGAAGGGACATGTTCGATCAAATAAATCACAGAACAACACCTAAAAACTGCACAGCTACATCAAGACACATGAAAAGCCCCTCAGGAAGAGGTCAAAACTCAAGCACAAGGTATTGCTGACCACTGTGATTTCTTGGGAAAGAGATTACTGCAGAAACACATTATGAAAACAGCTCCCAAAGCTGGGATTCCCTCCAGCTGAATGCCTTCAATAACCTGCAATAAATTCTCCCATAATGTAAAAAATAAAAGAAATAAAATTCAGGCAAAAGTCTGCTGGTGGTGCCTGTCCATGTTAGGGTTTTGGCAGTGAGCAAGGGCACTCGCTTGCTTCCCCTGCTCAAGGAATACTTCCTCAGCTGGGGTTGGGAGTTAGGCCTGCATGTGCCCTACATTGCTCATCCCTATGGGGCTGTCATGCTGCTTTCCACTGAGTGTGCCCTCATAGAGTGCCCTTGAGACAGCCAGCCCAGCACTATGGGCATGGAAGCAGTGGAGGGAAAGCACCTGTAGAATTTTGAGCATCCCTGTGCTTCTCAAGCCTGTGGTATGGACTGGGAATGGTGGCAAAAGGCATGACCAGCTTAAGTCAGAGGTATCTCTATGCCATGCTCAAGGGATGCAGCTGTGCAGGTGGCAATTTAATAGGGAGTAATGCACAACTTAAAATTGCCTTGAAGAATCACCCTGAAACAAGAGACCACACATTTCAGTGTCATGTGAAGGAGCTGAGTAGCTCCTTTGGTTTACTCCTGCTTTGATCCTCAGAGGCAGAATTGAATCTTTACTGAGGGCTGCTCTGTCTCCCAGTGCACATTGCACTTGGTGAATAATAGACCATTCAGTGACGCATTCCACATTGATCCAAAGCCCAGCTTTCTCAGGAAGTGACCAGAATGCAAGCAAAACCATCTTCAATTTCAGATCAATCCCCACAAGGGATTTGGCAGGGTGATAAATGACAGTCTCTGCTCCGGGGACTTGTCCTGCATCCCTGTCAGAGCTCTGGTGGCAAGAGAGCAGTCACTGCAGGGCAGCCAGCCTAGCTTCAAGCCCAGACTTTGTCAATGGCTGGACATAGTGTGGGAGTTCATATAACAAGCAAGCACACAAGTCTGGGGTGACTTGTTTTCTGAATGTCAGAGGACCATAGCTTGATGCCTACTGGTCACAGCTGCGTTGCAGCCTGGCTGAAGGGCTGGTTTCCCCAGAGAATGCCTGGACAGGCAATCATGATTCTTGCAGGTATCATCTGAGTCTCCAAAAAGTGACCAAGAAAGTAGGAGCTTTCTGAGCCCTCCCTAAACCAAGAGATGTGGTGGTTGTCCTCTGCTAGTGTCTGCTAGTGTCTAGCCAGCTTAGTGCAGCAGATGCAGCTTTGGTTTAAAGTATTTATTAACCAAAGTCTGCATGCAACAGCTAAACACATCTACAGCGGAGGTTTGTACTAGTGCCTTTAGGCTGACTCAGAACCATTTGGTGACACCAGGATGAGTTAGTTGAGCCTGAAATGATTTCCTTTTCATGTCTTTTTGCTTTACAGATTCCTTTCATGAGTGACATACTACATGTGAGTGAACATCATAGAGATGCAGTCCAAGGTTCTGCCTAGCATTACCACATGCTTCCGGATACAAAACAGGATTTTGTAGGAGGTGGTAGAGATCCCTTCTTTACAATGAAATTTCTAGTGCATCGGATGTTGGGACCTTCATAGTAAAGCTGAGGATAAAAAGATTGTATCTATAGCTAGATATCAGTTTCTTGCAGCTACTCATATTGGCTAGCCTGCTGGTGGCTGTCTAAAAACCATGGTGCAATGAATCTGAGTGCAGCAGAATAGAGGGGAGATCTTATCCCAGGTGTTTATACAGACTGGGTGAAGAACCCCTTGAAAGCAGCCCTGCAGAGAAGGACTTGGGGGTCCTGGGAGACGAGAAGCTGGACATGAGCCAGCAGTGTGCAATTGCAGCCCGGAAGGCCAGCTGTGTTCTGGGCTGCATTAAAAAAGGGGTGGCCAGCAGGGAGAGGGAGGTGATTGTCCCCCTCTACTCAGCTCTTGTGAGGCCCCATCTGAAGTACTGTGTCCAGGTCTGGAGCCCCCAGTACAAGGAGGTTGTGGAAGCCCCGTCCCTGCAGGCATTCAAGGCCAGGCTGGATGTGGCTCTGGGCAGCCTGGTCTGGTGGTTGGCAACTCTGCACATAGCAGGGGAGCTTAAAATAGATGATTTTGAGGTCCTTTTCAACCCAGGCAATTCTATGATTCTATGATTCTATGGTTCTACGATTATCAGTGTTTATAAATATCTAATGGGTGGGAGTCAAGTGGATGGGGCCAGGCTGTTTTTAGTGATGCCCCACAACAGAACAAG